CTTTTATGTAGTTTTGAGGCAGTTTCTGTACTGGGTCAAAATCCATCCTCAGCAGCTCTTTATAGCCAATTCAGGTTTAAGTGTAAGACTGAAATAATCAGGTCAGTGTTAAAGATGGAAGCAAGATTAATCACCTGATTTTTAATTTATTTTCAAACTCTTTACCAAGATAAAGCTACAATTTTTCTTTTTCTTTTCTTTTTTTTTTACTTTGTATTGCTTCTCTTGCAATTTGACACTGATGTACATCTTTTGCTACTCATTTGGGTAATTATAAAAAGATATACAAGAATACGGCAAAGACTATAAGGGCAGAAACATATGAAAGAATTAAGGCAGTTGTTTGACATCTTGTAGATTAGGTAGTTACCTGCATCTCCCTCCTTTTCTGCTTATAGTGATACCTAGACATATCCTGTACTGTGCTGTGCACAGTAATTTTTTTTTCTATTTTTCAGGAGTTGATTCTTGCCAACTTTCCTTAGTTTATCTCACCTGTTGAAAAGTGAAATAAAGATTGTTTTATATTCTATTATCTGTGTCAATATTTTTAAGATGCCATGAAGGGATTAAATGTTGCCTTGATTATTTAGTTTTTAATTCATGTATTATGAAGATCACATTAGATATTCCATTTATTTTATTCTAGGAAAGATAAGACCAATTAGACACAATAAATTTGAACCATATAAAACTGCCAGTACTCAATGAATAATTTTGAGCCTACAGGTGGGCAATTTTATCTAATTCCTATTTGTACATTACACTGTTTATTTTCTAAAGTGACATTTTACATTAATTCATTTTTATTATATGATACCTAAGATGTGGGCTCTTCTTTTCTTTCAATGATAATGTCACATAGCTTGCCTTTCAGTTTGAGCAGTAATAAGCAGCTAATTATAAAAATTTTCAAAATTTTTCATAAAACACAAAGACAAGTTAGTACCTTTAAAATATGGGCTACTACAGGAAATCTGTTAAGACTTAATGTTTCTTCATATATGCTATTAGAAGAAAATAACATACAGAATCAAAACTAGCAAATACAAGAAATATCTCTGATTTGTTCTTGCACTGGCTTTTTAATTTGATTTTTTAATGTTTTTGAAATGCTAGAGATTCATGACGCCTCATAATAAATTATGAATCCTTATAATGATGCGTGATTTAAGACTATGAAAGCCTTCTTGATATTCATCTCTAAATATTTATCTACAACCATAACATACCCAACCCTTTAGTATTCCAAAGCTGTGAAGACTACTGAAAACAAGTACTTAAAGTAGTAGAGACATCTTGGCCAAGAAACTATATTGGATTCCATGTTGTTTTCATAAGTTTCATTTTTATTTATTTGCAAATAAACAAATGTAGTTCGTTGTATGTTAATATATAAAGTGAATATTACTTTCAGAGAAGCTAGTAGTTAAAGAAATTAGATTAATTGAATTTTTTTTTAAAAAGTACAAAATTTTTACTTCACACTTACCATATTTATAATTCACTTTTATCTGTCTAATTGTTTATTATGTCTCCTTCTTTAGATAGTAAATAGCAAAAGTAGTAGCCATGTTTGCTTTATTTTTGTATATATGTATCTGTGCATTCTTTTATGTGCCATTTGAGATACACATGTGTACTCACAATGCATAGGTGTGTATGTAATGTGTGTATGTAAGGGATATATGTATATGCAGTATGCTTGGTGTAATTGGCTACTATACACTGTACACTAGTATAATAACTATTTTGGATTAATTAATGGATGGAATTTAAATCTAGTTTGTGAGCAGTTATCTCCTTCTTTCATCTCTTCAATAACAAATGCCCATCAACACCACAACATAAGGTTATTTAGAATAAATTCTCTTACCTTGTCAGCTTTTCGTATGTCTTCTGAGTTATCTCAAATATCTCATAGGCTTTCTTTAATAGATATATAATGGAGAGTAAGCCTTAAACTTTTTCACTCCTCTTTTATTCCTATCTATTGTTTTACTTTAAGCATGTATGATTGTAAGACAACATACAAATTTTGAGAGCCTACGGTAGGAGAAGCAATGTGTTTGGCACTAGCCATACAGAAAACTCTGTTTAACTGCAGGGACAAAATTTTGAACAAGTAATCAAAAATACAGAGTTAAATGACAAAAGGAGTACACATAATGTTTTGGGCAAGTTGGAAGAGGAGGGCTATGCTTCAGGAATAATTAAGACATGAGAGTAGGAACAAAATGTCAGTAGTTTGAAATCTGAATGATGACTACAGGGTCTAACCAAATGTGAAGAGGAATAGTCATTGTAGATCTCAGAAACAAGATGTAAACAAGTGGTCTCCCTGCCACTCCCTTCACCTATCTCAGCAACTTCAATAGCAAAGCCACCAAAGAGCACTGGTCCCCAGCAGTTCTAAAAGGCAAAGTTCATCATTCTCCCTCTTGCTTAAATTTTACTCAACTCTTACTATAAAGTCCAAAAGTTTTTAATCTGATACAAAAGCCCCTTCATAATCAGACTGATCATTACATTGATAATTTTCAACATGTCTGTAAGGATCTTTGAGAGCTCATGACTACATCTCTTTCTTTCAACTCGTGTTGACTTGTTTTTAAAGACTAAACTCAATTATCACACATTCTGAGAACATTTATGAGATTAGTGAGTACTCCCATAACAACCTGTTTATAATTCTTATTTTTACATTTATGAGATTGTACCATCAAGGTGTGTGGCTCATTGAATTACCTCTTGACATCACAGTCTACTTGTTGGTAATTATTTCTCTTATCTCTGCTTCACTCATGGAAAGCAGCAGATATACTAAAAATCACATAATTTGAGATAATTTAAATGTTCTGTTACTAAGAAAGTTAATGTTTCCTATGTTAACTATTTATTAACTCTTTAAAATCATAGAATATTTAAAGGACTTTAGGAATATCTAATGCAGTGATATTATTGTTTTTGAACAGTACGCAGTAAGAACAGTAAGAGATGTTCTACATCTCAGCATGGTATATGCAAAATCTCATGTAAATGAAATATTTCCATTATATAATACTATTTGAGATGTAATAAATATAACATGATTAATACTGAATATTATTTCATTACTACTTAAATACAACAAAGACAATTGATAATGCCATAATAAATTATTAAAACAAAAATGGTTTCACAGTCCAATAATGACACTAAAACCTCCCTTTCCAGGGCTGGGGTTTAGGTCAGTGGTTCTGCTCCCTGCCTTGCAAGCACATGGACCTGATTTCGATTCCCAGTACCCCAAAAAACCCAAAAAACCCTCCTTTGCCACTTATTTTACTATAATCTCTATCCCTATTGTATAGGTAAAAGGGAAGTTGTGAAAGATATGTAACTTTTCCAGACAAATTAGTATAAAACTGGATCTAGAATATAACCGGTTATCATGCTGTTTCTTCTCTTCTTTCTCTACAATGACAAAGGCAGAACTTTTGCTCAGAAGCTATAACATATTTGACTCATTCCCTCTTTCAGACTAGATCCCTTGGGCCATATACCTTTATTAATGAGTTTAATGGACACTACTAACCTTCTCTTGTCTTTATGCACAAGGTATATTTTTGTCTGGAATCCAATTATAAAGGGTACTTTAAAATCCTCAAAACTGTACACCCTGAATAGAAACTGATGAAGCTTCTGGGTATAAATTTCATGCCTATACCGATACTTTTGGAGTGGAGCAATGAGTGAACACAGACATACCATAAATTGAGCAGAATAGAGGGCTCGTAGAAAAGTCACACTACAAAATTCTGTGATAAATGATTATGAAAGAACTTGAAGCTCCTTGCTGAATTTTTAATACTGCTCTTACTAGCTTATCATATTTATCTGAATGCTTGTTAAGTATAAAGTAAGTTTTTTTTCCTACTGTACATTTTACCTGATTATGTCCTTATCTTATATTCTTGGACAGAATAAAGTAAGGTACACCTTCTGGTATTTAACAGAGGTATGGCTAGTACGCCATGTCTTACTGTTGTGTAATGGTCTGTGGGGAGGACCTTTTTTGTGAAATGGTCAGTTTTCCTCAGGCTCTTGCTGTTACTGGAGAGCAATTTAGGGAGGGTAAGAATACTCATCATTTAAGAGTGAAAAAGCTTACAGTCTTACAGTAATTAACTTATGGCAGACTCTGATGACTGAATAATTACAATGATCACAAAATTGTAGGTCTGAAACACCAGTCAGTAGAGACTATTTGAGAAAATTGCATTTATAGGGAGATTAAGAACTGCAATGGGAAGCAAGTGTAGACTACAGAGTTGGAATGAATTTATTATTATTCATTTCTAATTCTATAAAACCATCTGAATATTACCTAACTATAAACAGATATGCACATTTATTTACCTTAACTTCATTAATGAGTAAATTGTTTTGGACTTCAGTTATGACAAATGTCACATGGAATCTAAATTTTGTTAATTCAATAATATTTACATATAAGGATTGCAATATTTATCATTTTATTTATGTGATACATGTCATAATCCCACTGCTGAATTAACTGCTAACAATTGGATTTATTTAGCAGCAAACAAACAACAATTCTAATAGATACTCCTCTTCAATTTATATTTTGTTATCCCAAGGTACATTTCAATAAGTAACGTAATTCACACCATGTTATTGAATATACTAAAAAAAAAAATTAAATGTACTATGTTAAACATTTTATTCTTTGGGGCACAGATTTTTCTAAATGTTTAAATGTAATATAGTTAATAGTTACTCTATATAATTTCTTTTTCTGTTATTTAGAAAAAGAAGACCACTTTGGTTCCTCTTTGAAAAATCCATACATTCAAAAGCAACAAAATAAAGCACAATACAGCATCGCACAGTAACACACACGAAGAACTCTTTAAAGTAATCTTTACCAGGCAGCATCTGCACAGCCTGTCTCGGGCGCTGTAAACCTCGGTCCTAACAGGAAGCTGAGTACTTACGTGTACATCATGGACTCAGGACTGGGGCAGTCTATTCAGTCACCACCTGATCTGTATCATCCAGGTCAGGGCTGGGAGGCTGGAAAATAAAGACAGTCACTAGCAATAAGAAAAGGGACAAGTCTGACAGGTTTAATTACTCCATTTTGCAGTCATGATACAGCCTGATAAGAACATGATCAGTTTGGTGCCAGCATTTCCACACAGCTAAGTAATTGCCAATTCCTGCATAAAGAATCTCCAAGCAACACAGGGCTGCCAGGGAGCAACTGGTAATGACTCAGAAGGCCACACTCTTCCTGCTGGGGAGGAATGCTCAGCATGAGGTGAGGCCCCAATCTGTTTAGGGACACACGCATACAAACCAAAAAAACCAAACAAACACTCGCACACACACTGATGACACTCCTCCCTCAACAGAACTGTCCTGATGTCACTTCTTGTTTCCTCCATAGACCTTCTCCTTTCTTCCCTTGAGGCAATTGTGAAGCTCTGGACCCAGGACCTGTCTGCCACCTTGGCAGAGTAACTATAGCTGAGCTGTACAGCTTTTTAGAACTTTCTTCTGAATAAAAAGGAAAATTGTATTAATTTTTTCTAACATTGTCCATTTTAGCTCTAAAAAGGAATAAATTTTACTGAAAAAAATTATTTTCTTCCCAAAAGGCAAACAAACAAAACAGGAAAGTAAAACAAAAAGTTTTTTCTCATTTTTCATCATCAGGGATAGCTTAGTACATCTTAGTGGTGTGAACACTAAACACTATTTTATAGACAGTCTTTTTACGTACATGAACACATTCTCAGACATTTAGGTCTTAAAATTTGATTGTTTAATGAAGATCAGTAAAATTTTGGATTAGATGCTACAATTTTAAGAGCTACTTTAAAGGCTTGGTGCTAGGAAATATTCATGCAATACAGAGCTATAAATATACTCTTGTTGTTCATACAGAATACTTTTACCTAAAATACTACAAAAATAATGACTCCAACCTTAATACTGTCATACTACATTCTGCAAAAGCATTATTAAGAAATAATTTCCAAATCACTTGATAAGTGGGAAAATGAGGCAGATTGTTTGTATAATCATCAGTCATTGTAAATGATGTATAACAATGAAACTTGGAATAGAAATGAAAGTGCCCAAGTAAATAATTTACAAAGCTTACCAAACACTTTATGATGAAAACTATACTTAATTTAGGAAAGTAACTTTGGAGCATTGAATTTTTTTTCTAAAATAAAAACATTTAAAAAAGGTGACAGAAAATTGTACTACTATTCTTTAAAAATGGGTTAAAAGCTTACATTTAATATCTCATTAATATTCTCCTAATCCTTTTTGGTTAAAATTCATGAAAATATTCTCAGTCCTTCATACTGTATTAGGAAATAATAACAGCAGAAAGGAAACTGTGGCTTAGGTGAAGGAAGTTATTCTACCCAAGACATATGTTCCAATAAGTACAAGAATTACTTTTGAGGATTCTAGAATGAGATATGAACAAAATCAACATTTTCATATTAAATCATAGGACTTGCAGGAGGAAAAACTTGCTAGATACAGCAATATGAGTTTTAACCATGTTCAAATAAGATGACATTATAGGAGAACATCAAGAATAAAGTTGCGATAATACGAAACTGATCATATTTGTTGGTGTCCAAATTAAAGAAAGGAAAAATATAACTTCTGGAATATAGAAAGTGCATGCTTTTCCATCATTAGAAAGGGCAGATAGTTCAAACCAGATCATTAGGATGGCCTACAAACAAAGGTTGATCAAATTTAGGAAGAGCAATGCACAAACCCCATTTTTACAAAGCTGTTCTATTTAGTACTTGCATTCATATTATTTTGTAAAATCATGATGAGGTGAGATTAAATATTTTGTATTGCTTTCCCTACATTAACGTGATGGAACAGGAATGACACATCAAAGTGGCTTTTTGCTTATCTCTCAAGGAAATGACACCAACTCGATATTCCCCTTCATGAATTGATGTTTTTCTTGATCTATAGAAGTCATCGTAGTCTTTAATCTTACTACATACTATTCACTCTGTTTGGGGGTATATTATATTTTCAGGTAATTTGCTACTTGATGACCACTTATAGTAAATAGCACAGGTAACGAGCTGAATCACCAGTCCTGTGCCACTTTCCTTCTGGCCACCATGAGCTGGGCATCATTGCTCTGCTGTTCTTTCCATCATGATGCTTTTGCCTTGGAGTCTCCTGACCATGGACTGAATCCCTGAAACCATGAGCTAAATTAAACCTCTCCTCCTTTAAATTGTGGCTGTTGGATATCGTATCCCAGGATTGAGAAAGTTGACTAACAGGAAAAAAATGGAACCTGCCTGTGTGGTTTAGAAGTCATTGGAATCGGTTTGAAGAAAGAGGAGAAATGTTTGAAGATGCAGACTAGAAAATCCTAGCATGACATGAACAGAGCCTGATGAATGATTCTCTTGGCACTCAGAAGACCAAAAAACTAATAAATAGGAAAGCAGACAGGAAAGACCAGGCAGAGGCAGTTTCAGCTCAGAACAAGATTCCACCGGAGTTTGGACTAGAGCCATGTGTCTTACATTCTTGCAAAAAATCTGTCTACATTTTGACCATGTCCTGAGAATTGTAAAAAGTAGAAATTTAAACCAGAGAAATAATTACTCTGGTAAGAGAAATGTCACTATAGCCCAACATTCAGGCTGTGGCAAAGGTATTGCAGGCTTCTTTTAGCCTAATTCATAGTAAGACTTGGGAGCAAAACACAGAAGAGAAAAATTCTAAAAATTTGATTTTGGACAAGAAACCATGTATAAAGATAGTAGCAAAGGGAATATGGCTGTTGAAGACGTTAACAGCATGAAAAAGAAAGTAAGTGTGGTAAAACCTTGGTTTGTAAGCAAAATTTGCTTTGGAAACATGCTTGTAGTTCACAGCACTTGTATTTTGAAATGAATTTCCCCATAAGATTAACTGAATCTCAGATGATTTGTTCCACAACCCCCAAATTTTTCATATAAAAATGATTAAATACTATAATAAAAAATATAAAGAAAAATAGGTAACCTGCACTTACATTTGAAAACCTTTGTGAGGAAGAAGAGAGAGAGGTGGATCATTTTGTAGGACAACTTTCACCATCACTAACAGAATCACTGCTGTCTATTGGCTCAGTGGAATCTTTTTCCTTTCATGTAACTTTAACAAGGAATCTACCCAATGACACTTGCTTTTGCCTCCTTTTGAGGATTTCCTAAAAATGTTACATTACATAGTCATTAAACAGATTCATCCCTCTCACTGCTATATCTTACTTGGGGTGCTTTTCTATAAAATTTTTCACACTTTTCCACATTTTATATGACTCCTTCATCTCACTTAAAGCGAAGGATTCCTCCAGCTTTTTCTTCTTCTCCTCTGCAGATGCGACTGCTTCCATAACCTCTTGCTACTGGGAGACTATCACCCACAATCCCACAGCAAGAGAGAGAACCATTTGCTCATTTGTGGTCACGTGATCTTCATCATCACCTACTACTCATATAGTAAGGCATGTTCATTTATCAAGTTAGTTTATTAGAAATGTTCACTCCTCTTACAGAATGCCTGCAGAACAAGTTACTTGCTATCCAAGGTTTTACTGTGCTTTGCCCAGGATTAAGAAGAAAGACACCCTGAAGGCATCTCAGAAATCAAGAAGACCATTTCCATCACAGGCTTAAAGGTGCAGAAGTGTAAACATGTCACTTGAGAAGAGAATGACTCACACTGTATTTGAGAGGGCCTCTTAGAAAATTGGTTCTCCAGGATTCATTTTACTGTTCTCAGTAGTCCAGCCACCTAGAAGTTACTGTAGTCATTGTTCAAAGTGGACTGGCTACTACTCCAGCTAGAAGAATTTTGATGTTGGTTTTATTGTCAGGTAAAATGTTAAGAGTTGTTGGGTCATGGAGGCTTCCACTCAGAGTTTAAAAGACTGTCTGGGAGGCCAGGTAAAATCCCCTTAGAGGGCAATGCATGAAAATGTGGGACTAAATCTATAGGTGCAGGGGAGACCCTGAGAAATCAGAGGCATCAAGAAAATGGTGGGCTGTGAGTGAAGCCAGCCCAAGAAAGAGAAAGACCTTATGGGCTACAACCATCAAGACCCTAGGGTGGGGGCCACACAAGCCCTTTGGAGCGCACATTTTATCACCCTATGTTCTAAATGCCAGATATAGAGCTACAGAATAGCTTAATGTCTGCTCCGCTGGTGTTTTACCTTCTTTTGATCCTATTCTTTTTCATTATCCTATTTCTTTTTTTGGAATGGGAATGGTTACCTTGTGCTATTGTACCTTGGGATTATGTGACTTTTTAAACCATTGTTTTTATAGGGCTTTATAGCTAAGTGTTTGCCTTGAGCCTCAGAAGGGATTTGAAATTGAATTTTTAAAAGGCTGGACTTTCTGAGACTTTGGGGAAGGAATTATCGTATTTTTGGTTGTATGCTTGATAGTTGTATCATGTCAGACAGAATTATGACCATATATTTATTTGGGGATTAATTATAGTTTAAGGAGAGATGTATTTGGGTGTTAAGAGTTAAGGGTGGGATGTGATGGTTAAGCTTCACTGTGACAACTTGATTTAATTGGCAGCCACCCAGGCACTTGATAAAGCACAGTTTGGGATGGGTCTGGATGATCACAGAGGCACTACTTCTTGGTCTACATCTGGTCCCTCGTCCCCTTCTGTCTGGTCATGTTCACCTGCTCTGCTTCCCAGAGGCCATCTGACCTGTGCACTGAGGAGCTACTGTGATCTATGTTAAACCTCTTTGACTTTAAATTGTGCTGGGTATTGTTTTCCAGTAATAGGAAAGCTGAGTAATACACTACTTTTACTTTGAAAAAAAAAAGTTTTTCTGTGTTTTCTCCTCATGGATTTTTTTAGATTCCTCCAGTATGAGAAGTGGAAAGTGCTTTTGGGACTAATAAAGTGCTTTTGAGGAAGTTCTAGATCTCTCAAGTTTTTGAAAGTGGGCTGATTTACCAAATTCTGTGAATCTAATTCTGTGA